ACATAAGACCTAACCATACATATAAGGTTTTGTATTATTTTTTCATATTTTTTATGTTTTTATAACATTTTTGTCAGTAGAAAAAACTAGATTTTCAGTATGAGAAAAATACAATTCATGCAGTATTTTTAAAAATAAGGTGCAAAATGGAATGTTTGGTACAAGGTAATTACAGACTTGACTAGGCCAATAATTTATAACAACATTAATTTTGATGCCTAATTATTTCTGGAGCAATGACCATTTAAACACAAAAAAGTACTCTCTTTACATGGAGGCCCGAAACACTGACAGGACTTCAAAATAGCAGCTAAAGCTTTCTGTACTGTCAGGCTCCTCCTCCTGGCTGTCTTCTGGAGAAATGAGCAGCCAGAAAAGACTACAAACTACTCTTGCAGACTTCAATAATATGCACTTTTGTAAACATGTTATACTTTGTTTCCACTTGGAGAAAGGAGGCTCTGTCTTTAACAGGAAAACAAACATAAACAAAGCCCATTTGGCATTTGGTGATTCAAATGTAACACACAAACACAAGTTCAAAGTCAAGTTTATTTGCCATTTGCAGTAGACAAACTACATTGGAAGACAGTGGCAAGAGCTCACACCTTAACATGCACTCATGGACAAATTAAAAGGTTATAAAAAAATTTAAAAGAAAAAAACAAAAACTTAAAACACTGAACACTGAACCTCTCATCTGCAACAGACTATAAATTCACAGAACAAGTTACATTCCATGTTACTGGGAGAAAGTTAATGTGCGTTATTCAAAACCATCAGAGCCCGTGGAAAAATACGATTTAAATGATGAGAAGTAACACATTTGATAGAACGCTACCGTCTCCTCAAGGGAAGAAGCTCAAACATGTCTTTAGTAGGATGAACTCATTAATAATAGAAGAAGACTTAGAAAAAGGTCTACTTTTAAAAATATCCTCCAAGGCTGGCAACTCACAGCCTGTTGTGTTACAAGCAGCGCGTACCACTCTGTTTAAACATAGCACGTGCACACACAAAATATCTTCTGTACAGCAATCACACCACTCTTTTATATCAGTTCTAATATTCAAAGATCATTTTTGAACCATTCAGCCCTTTTGCCTTCATGCATTTTGCAAGGCCTCTAATGAAACTCTATGTAAATACAGTCTGAAGTCCCTGGGGGGCTGGGGGGTGTCATCACACCTAAAACCCATTTTCCTTTTATTTTGAAGGTATAGGCTTAGATTTATTAGGTTATATAAAAAAAGTTCTATATTATGTCAGAATTACAGTGCATCAAAAATGTGTGGTTATAATGGGAGTCGATGGGACCAAACTGGGCCCTAGGGTAAAGATTGTACGGTCTGTGTGTATCTCCTATTCTAAACACCTTACAATAGAGCAGATCTTAAAAATTTGAAAAATCTAATCTTGGCCAAGTTTCATGAAAATAAACTGACTGAAATATTTAGAATCAAAAATAGAAAATTAGCAGAATGTGCACGTTTGGTACCCTAAGGTGCCCAAAAACCCCACACTGTGACAGAATCTGTTTTAATTCATCTTTCAGCTGTACGACTCTGTTCCGTTTGTTTCCTACCTGCCACTGCCCTTCAACAAGGCCTTTAAAAACATGGAGGTAAATTATAAACAGTTTAAACACAAAACCCAACATCAAGTCTGCATATTATTAGCATTAATTAAATCTGTGATGTGTGTTTTAGATGTTTCTAAACTTTTCAAATGGTTTGGTGAATGAGCACAAGAGGACCAGGACCCCTGGAGAACCTCGAGACTTTGTGGACTGCTACCTGGATGAACTGGATAAACAGGTGTGTGAACACAATATAAAACTTCAACATCATGATGCTGATGAATGTGAGACAGTTGAAAAAATTATTGGGGTTTACATTTATATAACTGATTTAAATTAAATACACATGGTAAAGTTTTATGATCGAACTATAATGATTGTTAAATGTGACAGTTTTGCTTAACTTGATGATTCTATATTAATAGATACATGCCTGGAAACAAATCCAACTAATAACTGAACTTTTATTTCCCCATTAGGCTAGGTTTTTAATGTCTAAGGAGCATGGCTTCTAGAGAATAACAGAGACCCCCCACTGATGATGTAATGAAATAGGCGGAGCCATGCCCTGAAGCTTTCTGTTAAAACTGAATGGACTTCCTCATTGGAAGTCCATTCTGTTATTCTCTAGAAGCCATGCTCCTCAGACATTAAAAACCTACCCTCATGAGGGATTAAAAGTTCGATTATGTGTTGGATTTGTTTCCAGGCATGTATCTTTTAATTTAGAATCATCAAGTTAAGCAAAACAGTCACATTTAACAATCAGTGGTGGCTGGTGGATTTTTCTCCAGGTGGGGCTACAACTCCAAAATACATATCTCAGAAAGCAATCAAACGTACTTAGTTGTATCACGCTAGTGTATTTATTAAACAAATGAAAATAATAAAACAGCATTACAATGTCATGTACTGTGATATTTTTAGTACATAAATTTTGCTCTTCTGTTACTGAGAAGCTAATTTCTTCATGACTCTGGTTAAATTCAGGGATGTTTTAACCAGATTCTTATAGAGCATGGTCAGTGCTGTGAGATGTGGTGTTGTACCTGAGGAAAGTCTGGATTCTCTTCAATGTTGAGAAGTTCCTCTCAGATTCAGCTGTGGTCAGAGGAGATGTGATGAGAATCTTCAGCAGAGTCATAGTCTCTGAAGGTGTCCTGTAGATCAGTGTTTCCCAAAGTTGGGGTCGGGACCCAAAGTGGGGTCCCGAAACATCAAGGTGGGGTCCTGAAAAGATTTTCTGAATTAATTACATTTTTGCCTTAGTTGTTATAAAGGAGTGAGGTTAGTAT